CTGAACATAACCTTACTTATGTTTATATTCTGAAGCTGAACATAACCTTACTTATGTTTATATTCTGAAGCTGAACATAACCTTACTTATGTTTATATTCTGAAGCTGAACATAACCTTACTTATGTTTATATTCTGAAGCTGAACATAACCTTACTTATGTTTATATTTGCGTATTATAATTACACGTTTCCCACAGGAGAATAATGTCGATGCTGTTCACCCTGGCTATGGGTTCTTATCAGAACGTTCAGATTTTGCTCAGGCTTGTATTGATGCTGGTTTACGATTTATTGGTCCGTCTCCAAAAGTTGTTCAGCAGATGGGAGACAAAGTTGCTGCCCGTCAGGCAGCCATTGATGCAGGTAAAGATCTTACTGAAGTGCGCAATTAATCGTTAATCTGGTTTCTTTGTTTCTACAGCAACAACTGAGTAAAAGTTGTAGCCTTATCTTACGTGGACAGAAAACAATTATTTAGTTGTCTTAGAAATTCCACGGTGTTTATGCTTAGATGTAAATATTATTGAAATATAAATTGTGATACTGTGGAATTAAGTTTTTTGTTGATTGATTTTTTTAATTGGAAATTAAGATTGTTAATATTTATTTATTTTTGATGTCAAAACTTACATTATGCTTCATGAACATAACCTCTCTTTCCAGGGCGTGATTTGTTCTTCACTTGGAAAATAAAGGACATTCATTTTCCATGTTAATGCTAAAATATATACATTTTTGAAACATGAACAAGGACTAAGGAACTGACTTCTCTATCTCCTGAACGCGATCAGAAAGTAGTGATCCTGTTTTGTTTGTCTGAGGTGTTGCTGTTGTACCTGGTACCCCTGGCCCCGTAACTACACCAGAAGAGGCCATGGAGTTCTGTCTTAAGCACGGTCTTCCTGTTATATTTAAAGCCGCCTTCGGAGGAGGTGGTCGTGGTATGAGAGTAGTTCGAAAGATGGAGGTAAATCTGAAATGATTTCCAATTTCAGTAAATTTTCCGTAATGAAATTAAAGTGCTAAGAATGCATGTTAGAGAGGGGAGAATCTTTTGTGAGCTGCTGTGCGCATTTTGATAACACTTGGTATTACGAGCGTCTGAACTGAGAACTGTAAGGTATATTTAATTTTTGGTTCTTACTGGAGTTGCATAACCTTTAGTTTATGTGAAGTTTTAATCAACCTTTATCATTTTCCTAAAAAATAGCTCATTATTTTAAAAAAATGATTATGTAGAATATGTGTTAAATAATTTTTATTTTACACATTAACAAAATAGAATGTGGGGTTTTTGTACTTAAGCTGGTTTAAAATAGAGCTTTGTCACTTTGCTGAATTTGTTTAAGCTCGTATCGAAAGAAAGAAAGAAAGAAAGTCTTTCCAATATTCAGAGTACCACTTGCAGTTATATTTATTATCTCCTACGTCTTTGTAGGAAGTACAAGAAATGTTTGAGCGAGCAAGTTCAGAGGCAAAAGCTGCTTTTGGAAATGGGGCAATGTTCATCGAAAAATTCATAGAACGACCTCGTCACATCGAGGTCCAACTCATGGGAGACAAAGCCGGCAATGTCGTCCATCTGTACGAGAGAGACTGTTCGGTTCAGAGGAGGCATCAGAAAGTTGTAGAAATTGCTCCAGCACCCAAGTTAGATGTTAAGGTAAGATGTCGTGTTTTAGAAAGGAAGGCCCGAGTCTTAAATACATCAAAGAAAGAAATTATCTTCAGTTTTACATTATAATTGTATTAGTAAGATTTTAACGTTTTCAGTGATTATTCTTCCGTTAGGTTGGCATGTGTTCGGCTTACGAAATGTTGCGTGTATCTAGACGGCAGACGAACATCGCAAATAAATGAAACATACTATTTAAACGCTGTCTCAAAACGTTAATTTTTCTCATGTTTATGTTAATACCAGTGATGGAAACAACTTCAGTTTTGTAATCATGTTTGCTTCGCTCAACTTTATAAGGTAAGTTCCGGAATTTCGTGTGTTATTTCTTATAGGTACGAGATCGAATCACAGGGCAGGCCGTGAACTTAGCCAGACACGTTGGCTATGAGAATGCAGGCACAGTGGAATTCCTATCGGATGAATCCGGAAACTTTTATTTTATTGAAGTGAACGCTAGGCTGCAGGTGGAACATACCGTCACTGAAGAAATAACCGGGTAGGTCCATGTTCAGATATTGAAAGATGTTTATTTATGTATATTTTTAAATTATTTTTTTTTCCAGCGGATCATTCAATTTGATGAACGTTGCTACAGCATTCGGAATGAACGAGAAAGGTTTTAGAAATAACAAAATGAAATGTATATTAAAAATGTAAAATTTATGTCAGATTTTTTTTTTAAAACTATTTTGATGTTTCACTAAAATAATATTCGAGTACCTTAAAATTATCTTACAGGCCATGATAAGTGCAAGATCTTTCTCAAAAAAATATAACTCGGTCCATGCAACTGGTGACAGATTCAACAGTTTAATTTTCAGAACAGCCCATAGTTTTTTTCTAAGGTTAAATTTTTTTTAATAGAGGCACATTTTGATCGATGATTTGGCAACAGAAGAAATCTGACTAATTTTATTTATTAAACAATCACTAGTTTGTTAACTGGTCCATGTGTATCTAAAAATCCACACTAAATTTTAAAATATCGTAGAAAAATTAATATTAGACTTGAAGTTATTACTACAATTATTGTAATTTTTTTTTAAAATAACTCATAAATCCTAACCATTGTAAATGCCATGAATTATGTTCTATTTTAGATGTAAACATTTATTTAAACATGATATCGATAACGAAGGAAATTGCAACAAGTTGCTTATAAGAAAGAAGCTTGCAACATGCAGAAGGCCTGAATGTGCGAAGGAAAACTGGAATTAAACTTTTAATATTTGTGTGTCCAGAATTGATTTAGTACAAACACAAATCAGAGTGGCAGAAGGCATGACACTTCCTGAAATGGGGTTGACACAAGATAAGATTAACCCCCAGGGTTATGCAATACAGTGTCGAGTTACGACAGAGGACCCGGCCAAGAACTTCCAACCTGATACCGGAAGAATAGAGGTGAGACGACAATCCGGTTTACTTTGAGACGGTTCTAACCTCTACTTATATTAACTTTATTTTATTTTAGTAATTTATGTAAAGTTTTTTAAATATACTATGTATACTTTTTGACGTAAATACGTCTGTATTGAAGGGTCATTCGGTAAAAAAGGGTAACGTAAAAGTGTACCTAGGGAACGTCGTGTTTACTCGGCATTGTTGTTACCTATAAAACATTTCATTACATTCAGCTACCACAGACCCATCTTAAGCGTAACTAATTCAAGTTAAATAAGCAAAGTCTTAATCAAACTTTACTCAATTGTAAAGCATGTAAAAAGGAAATATTTAGAATAAAGCCAATATATAAACTTCCTTTCCGTATAGACGTATTTACGTCAAATTCTCCGGAACCTTGTTTCCACTATCAACTTTTTTGTGACGGAACTATCTACTTCAGATACTAATAGTCATTGGATTGGTTAAAACGTTCTCCAACTTCTGCGGAACCTCGAAGGTTTGTTACCGAGTTCAGAAGAACCCATCGCTAAGTCCTGTCCTGATCCAGACGGATGCAGTCCATATCCTCATGCCCTATTTCTGTAGGATCCATTTTAATATGCCTAATTTCCCAAAGTGTACCATTTAATGTGGTGTCGCTCAGTTATTTTGCGTGCAATATTTAACCATTAAATTATGTTACTAAACTTTACTATGTTACGATCAGCTGAGTGTTAAAACCTAAGGTCCCATATGAGGACGCGAGATGCATCTGTAATTTTAATTACAGGTGTTCCGTAGCGGCGAAGGGATGGGTATTCGTCTTGACGGGGCATCGGCATTTGCTGGTGCCATTATATCCCCATATTACGATTCCCTCCTAGTCAAAGTAATTGCTCACGCTGGAGACTTGCAAGCCTCAGCTGCCAAGATGAACCGCGCTCTTAGGGAGTTTCGAGTCCGAGGAGTTAAGGTAAGACTTCGTAACAACAGTAGTAAAATTATATTTAACCTTTAACCATCAGCGTACAAAAATGGACTATTTATTTAAGTTGATGGTGGATTTTTGGATTGTGACACCATGAGGTCTTGTAAGTTTTTTTTTTTTTTTAAAGTTTGTTGAGAGTTGCGATCTGTGTTTCAGACAAACATTCCGTTCTTGTTAAATGTGCTGGAGAATCAGAAATTCCTTAGTGGCACCCTAGACACGTACTTTATCGATGAGCATCCACAACTCTTCCATTTACCTCAGTCACTCAACAGAGCACAGAAGTTATTAAACTACATTGGAACAGTCTTGGTGAATGGACCATCCACGCCTCTTGCCACGAAGCTGAAGCCTGCTGAAATTAATCCACATGTTCCTGAAATACCTATAGGTAACCTAACGTAACACAATCAGTAAAAAGTGTCTGGTGTCAGCCAATTATGTACTCGACTCTTCATTCTTTGATCTAGGAGGTACTTTTAGAGTCGGGATTTCCTCGTACGGCTGATATTTCTGCGTATGTTTATTTTAAAGCATATTATGGAAAAGTAAATTATTTGAGACGTATAAAACAGCTGTGTTATGAATTTATTCCATAATAATCTGAATATCGAAACAAAAAATATAAAATTAAACATTACTGTTGAGTGAGGGACTTATTTTAAATGATTGACTCATCACGTGAGTCATCAGTAATCTAATGACTTAAGTCATGAATTTGCAGAGAATTTGATGGCCGACTGGTCTTTGAGGAATCATTAAGAGAATTAATTTAAATGTTGATTATTTTGAAATAATTTAAATCGGACTATTTAAAAAAAAAATTTCATATATTAATCTGATATTATGTATAAACAGTTGTTTCGATGATTTGGTTAAATACGATCTGTGCGGTGAAGTCAATTAATTATATGCTTTGGGTATGAAATTTGAAAGTAGATTCTTTACATATTAAATAAAATAGAAAAAAATAACAAGCTGTATAATTAAAAATATAATTTTTCTTCGGAATATGCCGCGAATAGGCACTGCAGATGAATGTCAGTCGTAAGTTCACACCTCCGCTTATGAATTGTGACTACGTCATTTGCTTTTGAGTCATGACTCAATATTCCACACGTCTAGTTTACTGAATAGTGAATTACTTATTTCAAAATGACTTGACTGGAATCACTGAATAATTTCACTAACATCGGCAGGTTTCCCGTACTCTGCATTTTTTGGTAACGTAATACACGTAATGGCTTTATGACACTGAAGATGGTAAGTTGATTGGCATGATGGTTTATTTTACTCAGTCACACCGCTATGTAAGTAAGTGCACATGCTTTTTTGCTGGGTGATTTGTCTTGCATAGCGTGATGATTAATTGAAGCAGCTCGTATTAATCCCAGCCGGGGTCAGTAGTTCTCTGTCAATGAACGTATACCGCCACGGTGGTCTAGCGGTTAGAACGCTGGGCTTGTAATCCTGGGGTCTCGGGTTCGATTCCCGGCGGTGCCCGAATTTTTAACTTGTGTTGGGCAAGGCCGTGGTCTAGGCAACACGGAGTTTTCCTCTGGGGTTTCCCCGGTTTCTCCGTGGCATCCCAAAAATTACTATACTTTCATCATCATTTCGCGAAAAGGGGGTCACACGAGGAGCGTTAAATGTCATGGTCCTGATCGAACCCATGAACTGATGGGTCGTGAATCCTGCTAACCGCCAATGCACACCATGCTGAATGGTGTGTACTGGATACTAAAAAAAATGAACGTATGGAACGCATTTTGACATTGAGAAACAAATACACATGATGCATATACCAAAGTGAAGATACATACATGCGTACTCTTACTGTGTGTAAGGAAGAAGGGTCGTCTAAGAAGAATTTACAAGTAGGGAGGTTCGTAGGGTGCTATGATGCATGTGTATGTGGTTCTGTTTTGCCCTAGTTATTATTAAGTTTTTCTTATTTTTCTTGCGTAAAGTACATTCTAAAAAAGATTAGTCTCAGAAGAGGTATTGACCGTTAGTAGTGAACTGGTCGACTGCTATAATTGGTTTGATCATCCTGCCCTAGGTCAGTGTCCTCTCAACAGGCACTCGCCTTTTTTTTGAAGGACTTCTGACATGCTAGTTGTACAGAATCAGTGCCTAATTTCTGAAAGATGGATTCAGTGAATTATAAAAAGTAATAAGAATTTTATGTGATGACGCAGTGTACTTGAGCCTGTTTAGCGTGTACCTATATGACATCATCTGTGGCAAAGTTTGTTTTCCATTTATATATAACATAGTCATTTTCTTGGGTCGACTGCGTTGGGCTGGCCATGTAGAAAAGGCAGAGAATGTGTAAAGAATTTTGGTGTTGAGCCCTCATGGGAAAACGTCCACTTGGATGACCGAGAAGGAGATGTGTGGGTTCGATTGAGACAGAACTTACGGAAATAGATCGTAAAGATGGGAAGTAGATGGAACTGGCACAGGATCGTGTCTGGTTACGAAATTCGGTGTTAGCGTTGTTGAACCTTCTCTTTAATTCGTGAGGTGGAACGATCATGACTACGTTAAGTATGGTACTCTGCGCCAACCTAATCCAACCTAAACTAATCAAACCCAACCTAACATAACCTAACCTAAACTAATCTAACCTAACATAACCTAAACTAAACTAACGTAATCTAACCTAACCTCAACTAACCTAATCTAACCTAACCTAACATACCCTAACCCAACCCAACCCAATCCAACCTAAACTAACCTGTTGCCAAATTCAGATTTTGGAGGAGTATTAACTTACGTCCAAACGCAAGAAAAAGTAATTATTTTGTCTTTCAAAGTATAAGTCAGTGAAAAGTTTAACTTCATCGAAACATGTCGTCATCAAGAGATATAAGTACTTGGCACCATAGTTTAAAGATAAAAGATACAGAATAATCCAAATCTTCTTCTTCTTCTATGGCTCTCCGGTCCGTATTCGGTCCGTGGCCTCCTCAATTCTCCTCTTCCATTCGGCCCTATCCTCCGCTGCCTTCTTCCAATTTCTAATCCTCAGGAGCAGTGTGGCATCCGTTTGAACTGAATCCTCCCATATGTTCCTGGGTCTTCCAACTGGTCTTCCTCCTCCAACACTTTGAATACCATCTTTTGGAATTCGGGTGTCGTCCATCCGAATCAGGTGACCTGCCGATTGAAGTCTCTTGATTTTTTATAAATTGTGACAATGGTATGTCTTTATATAATTTATAGATTTCCTGATTAATTTTTATCCTCCATTCACCTCACGATTTTCCGTTCAAACAGATCCACTTTAGAATAATCCAAATAGTTACTTTTATATCCGTAGTATGATTATTAATTTCTTTTTATGTGTCATTGAAGGTACATGTGGAGAGCGAAGCAGTCGTTCGTTATAAATCATTCTAGATGAAATTAAGCGCTGTGTTCGAAAGTATTTATGCCTGCCTTTCAAATATCATTTTCACAGTCCATGGTTTGTCTCAAACTACTTTTAATTGTTTTGGTTTGTGATGCATATATTTTGTTTTTGTAAGCTTGCGTGTTGCACAATTCCCATCACGAATCCACGCTTTGTAAAATTTCAGATTATTCAGCCCGAGGAGCTAGTTCTGAAAGTGACTCTGATGGAGATGTACCAGGTTAGTATTAGATAAGACGTGTGTCTATATCAGAAATATTTGGTTACGGGAACATTAAATTAGTTTATAATTCTCTTGAGTGTCTTATTTCCATGTTGACTTAATTTTATAAAGGGCTGAGGAATTTCTGAATTTACAATTTGTACAATATTATGTTTTCTTTAAATTGTAATTAACATTTATCTTAATAATTCTGAATTAAAATAGAAACTTTTACTGTTGCTAAATAAAGGCGTGTGTCTCAGATGGCCGCGTGTTAAAAATATTTGTCTGATTGTAAGATTTTTGATTTGAATTTAGTCTTTTGTTTTACGTTTTATCATCTCTGCCGGATCTTATGAGGCCATCTACATTGCAGTTCATAATGAATCCATATTGATCACTGTTTCATTTGTTGATAACCATATATGGTTTAATGCACAAAGCAGTTTATCTGTTCAGCATTAATATTTGTTTTTCCTTGTGTTAAGTGTTTTTATTTAAAATCTTTTGAAATTCTGTATATTTATGATACACGTAAAAGATTAATCTAAAATATAAATAGATTCAGGCGTTGAGTAAGAGTACATTAAAATGTGTGATATTTTAAATAATAAAATTAATTATTTTGTTATAATGTATTTTTTTAAAAAAACCTGGGCAGCGAAGGTATTTATTATAGTCTTCCATAATACTATAAACAATAAAATAAAAATAATATCCTACACTCATTATCATCACGTTACTAATTGAATGATTACTGTCTCCTCAGGCCCTGAACCACCGCAGGGGTTCCGTCACATTCTGAAGGCTCAAGGTCCAGAAGGATTTGCTAAGACTATACGAAACCACAAGGGTCTACTGCTGATGGACACGACATTCCGCGATGCTCACCAGTCACTTCTAGCGACCCGCATTCGTTCACACGATCTCTTGCGAATCTCTCCTTACGTTGCCCATAATTTCAACCAGCTCTACTCTATGGAAAATTGGGGAGGTGCAACTTTTGACGTTGCACTTCGATTTCTCCACGAGTGCCCTTGGGAAAGGCTAGAAGACATGCGTAAGCAGATACCCAACATTCCATTCCAAATGTTGTTGCGAGGAGCGAATGCAGTCGGCTACACAAATTATCCCGACAATGTTGTCTTCAAGTAAGTTTCCCGACTGTCGTACACGCTGCATTTCTTTTCTCAGTTTATTTGGAAAATAAAAATAAATATTTGTATCTTATATGCGTCATGTTTGTGTTTGATTAAATATATTTATTTTGTACAGTCTATACACAAACGTTTGAAGTTTATTGGTGTTGTAAAATCGTATTTACGATTAAGAGCGCTAATATAATATTTTACATAACAAAATGTTTTAATATTATATAATTTTTACAACACCAATAAACTTCAAACGTTTGTGTATAGACTGTACAAAATAAATATATTTAAAAATAAATATGTAAACCAATATCAAAAAATGGAATATATTGTCTCTTTCCTGTTCAGTGGCCACGCGGTTTGAGGCTCTTGATCGCAGGGACCGTGGGTTCGAATCCCACTCAAGCCATGGATGTTGTCCTGTGGACAGGTAGAGGCCTTGCGACGGGCCGATCCCTCATCCAAGGAGTCCTACCAAATGTCTATAGATCGAGCCAACTGAAAAGTTGGGGACCCGTAAAGGGTACTGTTACCATTTAATGTTATATTAAATCAGTTTAACAGCTGGGAGGCAAATTAATTTATTTTATATTTATTATAGGTTTTGTGAGCTATCTGTGCAGGTGGGAATGGACATCTTTAGAGTATTCGATGCGCTCAACTATCTTCCAAACCTAGTTCTTGGTATGGAAGCAGCTGGTAAGGCGGGGGGGGAGGCTGCCATATCCTATACGGGTGATGTTTCTGACCCCACGCGCAAGAAATACGACCTTAAGTACTACATTAATCTGGCGGATGAGCTCGTTAAAGCCGGCACTCACATTCTGTGTATAAAGGTATAATTTATGTAATCGGATTCGGATTAACATTTCCCTTATGTCCTGCATTAAAAGGTACAACATTAACATTTTTACTCTTTCACAGTTACTAAAGGCCACCCAAAGGTACAAGGCCTTCCTTGAGTAGCTGATAGTCGTTCACCTGTTTAAGAAATTATCTGAATTACGTAATGTACAATTATGTTATGTCACTGTCGGTCTCTTGGGTTATAACGCTGTGTGGACTTTCAGTTATATATTAGTGTTTCAGAGGAACATACTCACATCATCCTCATGATTATTCTGCTGTTTTAGGATATGGCTGGACTGCTGAAACCAGCTGCTGCAAGACTTTTGATTACGGCACTGAGAGACAAACATCCAGATGTTCCGATACACATCCATACCCACGACACCGCCGGAGCTGGTGTGGCTTCTATGCTAGCTTGTGCAGAGGCAGGAGCAGATGTCGTTGATGTAGCAGTAGACTCAATGTCTGGCATGACGTCACAACCCAGTATGGGCGCAATTGTAGCGTCCCTGCAGGGAAGCAAACTGGATACAGGTCAGACACGTGACGCAATTATATTTAACCACTTCACGGCGACAGTGCTTGACCTAAAGTACGTACACGCAATGCAACAGAACTATAGTCCACGACTGTAATCTAGAGACTTGCGGGGAGAAGGAGGAAGGAGAAAAGATGGAGTTTGCCTTTAACGCTTCGGACTTCCTGCATTCCTTGCAAGTCTAGAGATTACAGTCGCGTACTATACTTGTGCCTGGCATTGTGTACTCGCAGATCATTACAGATCAATTATCAAATGCCTGATATACACTTACGGCCATCTGGGGGATGGGCAGTGGCCCAATTAATGGCACAGTTCCACAGAAACATAACCTCACCCCATCATTACGTAATTAAAATAATAATACACGGGTATTAGGCAGTCTGGTCAAGATAATAATTTTCGCTGTTTTTCTGTGTAAATGAAGAGAAAAATGCAAAGCAATGTCATCATCTTGACATTTTTTTCTGATCTTTTCACTATAATTTTATGTACTGCTGATACACAATGTCAAGCTCACGTGCGCATGGTTTCTTTGTTACTTTCGAAGTGAAACAGCAAAGATGTGTTCCGATGTTCATTACAGGCTTGAATTTGAACAACGTAAGTGAGTACTCTGCTTACTGGGAGCAGACTCGCACTCTTTATGCACCATTCGAGTGCACAACCACAATGAAGTCTGGTAATGCTGATGTGTACTTGAGTGAGATCCCTGGAGGACAGTACACGAATCTTCAGTTCCAAGCTTATTCCCTTGGTCTTGAAGAGTTCTTTGAAGATGTTAAGAAAGCTTACAGGGAAGCTAATATTCTTCTCGGTGATATAATAAAGGTAAGCTCAAAAACTGAAGTAATTTGACAGCGGAAATTGTCTTTGTTCTTGCCAGCGAAATTCCAGAGTAGCATCTTCAGATATGCCATGACAGCCTCCTTACAAGTCCTTACCTTGTCATCATTCGTGATCATTTCCAATCTCATTCATTGCTGTATAATCTATGCAATCGAAACCACGTCAAATATCCAACGAATCAGTCATTGGCAGTAATAATTTTCAAATATTAAAATCATATAAAGGACTTTGGGCTTTATGATCAGTGTTTTAGCCATGATCATTCTACATGTGCACATAACGTGTTATTCAGTGATACCACTGGCTAAACTCTGTGATGATGAAGTTTGTAGAAGTGCTTAGAGGATACTAGGTATCAGTGTACCTTGTTAAGTTGTGAAATATGTGATTAGTATCTCCGTTTTCCAGGTGACTCCATCATCAAAGGTAGTGGGTGATCTGGCACAATTTATGGTGCAAAATAAGTTGAGCGCGGATGATGTCCTAAGCGATGCCGAAGAACTGAGTTTCCCCAAGTCAGTCGTTGAGTTTCTCCAAGGTTCCATAGGTGAGCCTTACCAGGGTTTTCCTGAACCGTTCAGGTCAAAGGTAAGTGCTTCACATTATTTTTATTGTGTGATTTTGAGGCATCATGCTTCGGACCGGCGATACAGAATGCGCGCTGGTTCGAGTCTCGGGAGAGAAGAGATTTTCTCATGAGCTTTCGACCGGTGTATGGGACCGGTGCCAACCCAGCATTGTGAGGAAATTGGGGAGCTACAAAGAGTAGCGTAATCTGGTCAGGAAAGCTAGCAATGGCTGGGGGTTCGTCGTGCTGACTACACGTCACCCTGTATCGGGTTGGATGATCGTTCTCCTCTGCTTAGGCATGTGAACGTGAGGCCGGTAGCCAGCTAGTTGGCTTTGGCTCTCAGAGGGCTGTTACGCCACGGATTATTATTATTTATTGTTTATGATAGTCTTTATAAATCCAGCATCATTGTAACTACAAGATTCTTTTTTCTGGTAGTACACAGGGGTATAGCATGCGACACTTTATATTATAAAGCAGTAAGTTTAAAATTTGTCACTGAAAATAAGTTATACAATTAATTTTCAACTAATTTGGAGGACTACATGTGAAATTACAGGTTGCTTAAAAATATTAAACATTTATTTCTTGTCAGAAAAATCGCCCTGCCCTTTCATCATATCTTCAGTACCAGCAGCTTTCTTCTTATAAAAGCTTTCCTCTCTTAGTCTAAGATATGAAAGTTGTAGTTTTATGTGAATTAAAATCTATTTTATACTGAGGTTACAAAAAAGGAAACTGCATTTATTAGGTGTCTAATTATAAGATCAAATTCTAATTTTTCAGGTGCTAAAAGACATGCCGCGGGTGTCGGGACGACCAGGTGCGAGTTTACCGCTGTTGGACTTTGACAAACTCAAAGCAGAGCTCAAAGAAAAGCACCCGTACTCAACGGATCGGGACGTAATGAGTGCAGCCCTCTATCCACAAGTAACAGACGAGTATCTCACATTCCACGATAGCTTTGGACCTGTCGATAAGTTAGATACACGAATTTTCCTCACTGGACCCAAAGTTGGAGAAGAATTTGAAGTAAGATAATGTTTTTATTTCGTCCGTTATCCGACAGTCTTTTATATGCGACTAGTTCTTATGATCAGTTCAGTTGTGTACTGAAATGGTCGATGTAGCGTTTATGATCCAGAATTGTGTGTGAGGTGTAACCTCTCAAATCCCTGCCAGTTTACTGGAATTTTTAACTAATTTTTCTCATGGTTCTCCATTGTGTCTTCAGGTGAATGCTGATATGGCTGCCTCGTTCCAAATGTATAATAAATTTGATTGTAATTTGATGCTATATGTTGTCTGCAGCTGAAACTGATTAAATAACCTATTAATCCCTACCAATTATTGTATAATAATAATTATTTTAAAACAAACGCAGCTGCCTCGTTCCAAATGTATAATAAATTTGATTGTAATTTGATGCTATATGTTGTCTGCAGCTGAAACTGATTAAATAACTTGTTAATCCCTACCAATTATTGTGTAATAATAATTATTTTAAAACAAACGCCTTACCTCACACAGGTCACTATTGCGAGAGGAAAGACCCTTGGAATTAAGACGTTGGCCATGGCAGAAGATTTAACACCAAATGGCGAGAGAGAAGTATTCTTCGAGATGAATGGACAGCTCCGATCAGTTTTCATCAAGGACAAGGAAGCTGTTAAGGTATGTTCAAAACGAGGTCTGAATTTCAAAATGCAGGAGCAGACTTTTTCACCTCACATTCATAAAAAAATATTTGCATCTGTACCATTCAGGAGCTGCACATTCATCCGAAGGCTGATAAGAATGTCAAGGGTCAGGTTGGTGCTCCGATGCCGGGTTCGGTGATTGACATTCGTGTGGCGGTGGGAGACAAAGTAGAGAAGGGTGCAGCGTTGGTAGTGCTGTCGGCGATGAAGATGGAAATGGTTGTGCAAGCCCCTGTCGCCGGTATCGTCAAGTCGCTGGATATCAAACCCAATATGAAACTTGAAGGAGATGACCTCCTAATGACCATTGAGTAAACATGCAGTGTGTTCAAATATAGGGACACAGAGGAACAACTTACGCACCATGTTATCCATGGCAATTTTTCTATCATTTATTTTCTAACTTGATCGACTGAACGTTTTATTTGCAGGGCTCCATGACAGGAAAAAAGAATGAAAATAAGAATTATTACTCTTGAAGAAACATGTTTCAGACATGAAGAGAGAGATAGGCAAAATGTATGATACACAATTGTGAGATGAAAAGATTTTCATATATCAACTTAACATTTTATCTTATTTGATGTTTAATTTCTGTAGACCCACTAAATTATGTTAGTATTAAATTTGGTACAAGGTTTTCCTCAGTTTAGCATTGTATTTCATTCTGTGTGAAGAGAATTTAATTCAATAAGTTTTCCGTCTCGTCCGCCTGAGATTCAACTGTGAGGGAAAAGAAATAATCTTGCTCTCTTAACTTTTTACATCCCTCCCCACCATCTGAAGAATTAAGTTGTACCTGGTTAGTTTCACATGAGCTAGATTATGTTTTACATTTTTTCTTCTTCTTTCAAATATAGAAGAACAAAAATGTTCAAAATTTATTCCTCTGAGGCCAAAATTTTGTATCTTGAAATAACAATACTATTAAACGCAATAAAATACTCTCAGGCAATGTTGTTCCCGATGACGGAGACAGGGAGTGTCTCTGAAACGTTGGACTGCTGCTCCATTTTGACGCGGCTTGTCACCCGAGAGAATGTTATTGCATTTAGTCACTACAAAAGCCTCAAGTCATATAAAATAGAAATAATAGTACGTAAAGTTGTATCTGACTTGTGTGCTGTAAGTTATTGACAGAAGCATTAGCGTTATGAGACTAGTCTTCAACCTAAGAACATGTAATGTTTGAGTCACAAATTGGAAACTTGCATCATGTTCAGTATTAACTTTTACAGTGTTAACAACTCTGTATTATGGGGCTGCTGGCTTGACTTCAGTTCCAGGACTAACTGTTTAGCAGTATATTGCCGCATTGCATGGCCAGCGGGACCATGTCTAAGCTGTGACACACAACATAAATAATTCAAAATTTTTCCCATGAGTGTATCATAGATTTAATTTTTGTTTAGAATAATTAGAGATTATTTTCAAAGGTATAAACTTTGGATGCTGTCATTTCTGCCATAAAGTAGTCCCATTTAAGTGCAATATGTTTACAAGTTATTTTGTACAATAATTTGGGTAATAATTATTGAACACCATACATTTACTTTTGAATGTATATGCCCTATATGTCAATTATGAATTTAATTTTAATATCAATTTATTCTTGCTGTTGCTTTTTTTTTTTAACTTTATAAAACGAAAGTAAATAAGTTTCTGTTGATGTCTTCTATGGCAAAAGAACTAAAATTACCTTTACAAAATTTAATTTAGTGAAGAGTATTATTTTTTTCAATAGACATTTGTGTCCATTTATTTAGCACTGATTATTCGGTGCTCATGTCTGTTTCTTGCCCCACTGGCATACTTCGATGACTCACTAGCTACTCTTATGACTAAAAAATTACCAGATGTAAATCAAAATAGCTTTCTTTTTAACAGCAGATATAGTAATGTACATATACAGACAGGCTGTAACAAATTTGAAAATTAAATTCAAAGATATTTTAAGGAGACAAAATCAAGTAACATGTCAACAATGCAGCAAGTTGGGTATTCTTTTCTTTAAAATCTTATTACTTTTGTTTATACTGCTATCAACAGCTCAGAATACCCCCAGAGAGTCTTAATATTGCATCACAGTAAACAAAACAGTTGCCTGCATCTGCTGTGATAAATGATTACATGACAGATGTATAAATGTAATATAAGGTTATGTCTATCACTCTTTGCATATTTTATATTTGCTTGTATGTGGTATATTCAATATGTAAAAAGCTGTCCCACTATGTTATACAAATACTATATAGAAACATGCAGGTTACATGCAGAGGTTATGTTAAACTTTGATGTTCCCAATGCATGAATAAATGGATATATTTATTATTATAAAGATCATAAAGAATGATGTTATCACTATTTTGCTATGTTGTTGTATATTGAGAATTGTAAATTATGGTTTATGAAATGTTAAATCTTTCAGCATGTACTATTGTTTAGTTTTTTTGCATCAAATATTTTTTTGTTTTAGTTTGTACATATAGACTTTGTAGGGTGAGGCTGTGAAGTTTATGTTATTGTTATGTTAATGCAAACTACGAGGTAACGTGTGCTAATAGTAGTTAAACGCATTAACAGAAAACTCTATGGTTATGGAATAATATGGGTTACAAAATGGAGAATCTCTAATGTATGCTCAAATATTTTAAAGAAAATATCTGTTGACTGCTTATGTTGGTCTATAGCAGTGTTTCTCAAAACTGGGGTGGCAAGATGTAAACTTGGGAAAGTATGTAAAGTTATTTTGAATTCTATTATGTTTGTTTACAGAAGAAAATTATTTTTTTATTCCATGTTGAACCAGTTTCCTGTATTCATCTTTTGGTTTCAAAGCACAACATCTTCCGTACATTTTATTTGAAATTGCTTCATTTCAGTCAGCATATTCAGACTGTGTGCTGGATGAGCACACCTTCTATGCAACAATGTTGGGGAATCCCCACAATAGCTGCATCACCCAGCCAGACAAGTGCCAGACACATCCCACAATAGCTGCATCACCCAGCCAGATAAGTGCCAGACACACACGCAGAAAAATCAGTGACCCCAGACAGCTGTGATATAAATGGCACCATTTGTAAAGGTTCAAAGGTCATGTTTTTACATTATTTAATTTAATATAATTTATTTGTGGTTTACTTAACAGTGTTGTCGGTAGCACAGACTGCATACTTCAGCCGACAGTATTCCCCACTGGGTCACATTGCTTCTGATTAATAATGATAAATACAAGTGCAGATGTGAAGTGATCACATTTATTGTGTTACCAACAGTTGAAGTTAAAATTTGTAATGATTTAAATTTCTTTGATTTATAATGTACATGATAATGACATTGACAATAAAGACAAATAATTAGTTTGTAAATGTGATGCTATGAAGTTAAATGGGAAGACAGTTAAACCAACTCAAAATTAATAAGAATGTCTGGCACATTAAAATTTCTATTTCAACACATTAAAACAAACAAGTTGTGTTGACTGAAAATTTG